TTATATTGAATAATTCATTATTTCATTTTTTTATAATTCATTATTTTTTTATTTCATAATTTATTTTTAAAATTTTTAAATTACGAACCGGAACCGGCCAGTTCCGGTTCACACATGGCCACGAACCGGAACCGCCGGTTCCGAACCGTGACCATGACTACAGCATAGCCTCTTGGGGCACTTTACTATCACAAAGACATTTACCTATGAACTTAGGACTACATATAGCAGAGTTCAACTTAGTGTGGGCTTTTCTCTCAAATTTTATAACGCTTAGGTACCACTAAGGCTTTACCATAAGCTTTTCACGCCTAATAATTCAGATGACGCTCCTTATCAATCTTGAGGAACTTATATGTCTTATAAAACTTCTCTCTTTTTTTCCCCAGCTAGTTGGGGCATGCTATGTGGAGAGGATAGATCTTTCTGCTCATGGATTTCACATCGTACCTGAGATAGGATTTGACTGGAATACTGGAAAGGGAAATCCTTTTCGTTACTTCACTTATGGTGCTGCATGTGCTGAGGTAGAAATTGACACTTTGACTGGAGATTTTCACACGAGAGCTGCAGATGTCTTCTTAGATCTCGGATATTCTATCAACCCAGCTATTGATGTTGGACAGGTACCTTACATTTGGAGCTTTTACTTGCAATCATTATTGTTAGGATGCACGTGTGAGTTGTGTTAAAGAAAATCCCACATCGAAGAATTGATATAGTGTAAAGTAGTTAATATATCATAGTTGGTCTATAACTCATTGGTTTAAGCTTTTAAGTAAAGGTGGGTCCAAATGGATATATTAATAGGCTCGAACTTAGGCTCCCTATTGGTGATCTCCCCAATCGAAAGGTATCGGGCTTCTGCTGTGCGTTCCCAACTATCTTGATTCAGAAGGATACCTGAATTAAGGGGGAGCTCACACTCGAGGTGGAGATTGTTAGGATGCACGTATGAATTGTGTTAAAGAAAATCTCACATCGAAGAATTGGTGTGGTGTAAAGAAGTTAATATATTTTAGTTGACCCATAACTCATTGACTTAAATTTTAGGCTCGGACTTAGGCTCCGTCTTGGTGATCTCCCCAGGTGAAAGGTGTCGGGCTTCTGATGTGCGCTCCTAACATTTATTTTGTAATGCTTAAGCTTGGGGTTGATAAAACGTTCAAAACCTCCCTACGACATATGATAAATATGCTTTAGGTAAGTCCATGGCGGAGTTAAATCCAACTTTTTAGCATGAATTCGGTATTTATTACCATTTCCCACAGTTAAAGATGAATTCCAGACTAAAACAAGGACCATCTCCATGCAAATTTTTTGCTACTCTGATGCTTGATTTTGATATAGTAAAGAGGAAGGGAGTGGGAGTGGGAGTGGGAGTGGGAATTGGGGGAGAAGCTTTCCCAGTGTATTTAGGAGTGTTTGGATTGATGAAGGAAACTATTCTCCTTAAGCCATGACATGTGGATTACTGCTGCATCGATCTTGATTCTCTTGTTTGTCATCTGCACTTACTCCAGCTCAAGTCCCCCAAAACCTGAGCATGTTGCCCTTGATTTTGTCATGTAAACTTTTCGGCAGATTGAAGGAGCATTTGTACAAGGTCTGGGTTGGGTAGCACTAGAAGAACTAAAGTGGGGCGATGCCGCTCATAAGTGGATCCCGCCCGGATGCTTATACACATGCGGGCCTGGAAGCTATAAGATTCCTTCTGTAAATGATGTACCTCTGAAATTCAGTGTCTCGCTTCTGAAGGTATGCTTTTTCCTCTTTTCTCTTAAGCCCCAATAAAAAAAATATGTATCCATGGGAAGTCTTTGATTAGCTCTTTCATCAACCACATCAAACCAAAAGGAAGAAAGCCTGAGGTAGTGGAAATTATACCGCAGTTCAAATATAATGAGGCAGAAGACAATGGACTTTTAGCCATTAAAATCATGATATGCATTTCTAGGGATAGCCTTATGAGAATACTCAAAATGCATACATGTTTCCGATCCCTTTCAGAGGAATAACTTCAGTACCGACACAAGTTACACTTCGATCTGCATTAGGATACCAACTCGGCACATCTCCATCTGCTTTCTGATGTTGTCGCATGGCTTGATGTGATCACATATAGGTTGAATTGGGAACTTAAATTCAAAATTAGAAGGCTAATATGAGTTCTCTGTTCTAAACAGGGTCATCCCAACGTGAAGGCCATCCATTCATCCAAAGCCGTCGGCGAGCCTCCATTTTTTCTAGCTTCATCCGTCTTCTTCGCCATCAAAGACGCCATTGTTGCTGCGAGAGCCGATGCAGGGTTCACGGACTGGTTTCCTCTCGATAACCCAGCGACACCTGAACGTATCCGAATGGCATGCTTGGACGAATTCACAGCACCGTTCGTCGGCTCTGATTTCCGTCCCAAGCTTAGCGTCTGATCATTCTTCTGGTTGGCCTTTGTATGGCCCACCGCGCATGTGGACACAAAAGCACATTTGTAAGTCCCCTTGTATCATAAGTTATAACTATCTATTGACCGAGCTCAAAGTTGGCTATTGTAGATCTGTACAAAAAAAATAAAGGGTGGGCTCTGATCTGAATAAGAACAATAAGATGCGACAATCAACCATTTCTATCATATGTTTAAGCTTTCTTCATTAATTTTACAGTTCTATCGTATATAAAAATTAATCATGGGTAGACATCTAAGACGTTTGGCCATCACGAAAGGCTTTATATAAAAAAAAAATTATCCACGTCAGCACCGGCCATCCTTCGTGAAACTACCGGCATTCATGATAGCGATTTTCGGTTAAAATTAGTCGAATTGATTCAATTGACAAAACGTAAAAAGGTGCATGACTCAATTGGCAAAATTGAAAGATTTAGGGATGAATTAGTAAAAGTGTAATAGGTTTAAGATTTTTTGAACAATTTTATCGAATCCACGTAAATGCTCTATTGGAGTTTCATGAGGCACTTGCTTTCAAGGGCTTTGAACGTGACTGAGGGAGCATCGTCATTGCATAGAGACATAACGGACCAAAAGTTTTGATCGAGGCCTTCCCCTTGTACCTTTGCTTGAATATTTATAATTTGTACTCTGATTTTTTTCTTATACAATTTTTCATTATATCAGGTGGACGAAATTGGAAGTACTAACAAACAAGAACAAAATTCACGTGGTTGTAATTTGTACTCAAATATTTTTTATACAATTTTTATCATATTATTATACTGGTGAGTGGAATTGGAAATACTTATGAACAAGAAGAAATTTAATCTTATTCCCCTCTCTCTCTCTCTCTCTCTGAGCATCTTGTGAGTGAAAGTATTTGCGTCATGACTAGGTAGTATACACCTGCGTTACATAGACGTGAACTTTTTTCATTTGTGCAAATAGAAGTATGTGTTTTATTATGAATTGTTCATTAAATTATATTGAATCTCGTACCCTTCATCTTTGATCAAATAAAGGTGAAATTCTTAGCCTATACTACATTTTACCATAAAATATAGGGACTCGATAACAATTAGAAAAATTATAAATTGTCATTGTTATATGGCGTGGGGAAATTCCATATGTATTGTAATAATAGAAGAAAACCCATGGGACTGATCAAGGCAATAGTATATCATAGATAAAAGTAAAAATGAGTGGAAATCATAAGAAAAATGCTCCCCGTAACGAAAATGATCAATCCCTTGCAAGTGGGAGCCTTATGTATCACTCCTAGAACAATCGTTAGGAAAATGATTTTCAGTACCTACTGATATTGATATCGTTGTACTAAAGTTTTTTTGTAGTAAAAAAAGGTGATCGCCGGATTTAGAAGGGGAAAGTATACAAAATGAAAAAAAAAATGACCATGACAAAGAATTCAGGGAGAAGCATCTCAAATTGGTTATGATCAGAGTTCTGGTTTGTACACCTTGTAGTGTACTTTTTTTTGTAGTGTACTTGACATTATGCAATTGTCATAATATCTTCATAATAATAGTTACTATAGAAAATTTATTCAAAGAGTGCAACAACGAAGTCAGGATGGCCGAGTGGTCTAAGGCGCCAGACTCAAGTTCTGGTCCTCGTGAGAGGGCGTGGGTTCAAATCCCACTTCTGACATATTTTCCTTTGTTTTTTCCTTCTCTTATTTTTGCGTTATCTTCATTTCATTTCTTTCTTCCTTCCTTCTGTTTTATTTCCTCTGCTTCTAGATAAACAAAGATCCAGAATTCCCTAATCATGTGTTTGGAGAAGAAAAGTCTTTTCAATTAATAGCTATTATAATAAGGCGATCGAATTAACACATACTGGACTTTATTCTTTTCTCTTTTTACCCTATGGCCCTGTACATTCATGGGTCACTTCTTGCTGTCTATACATTCTTAGAGACAATGTCGTGACTCGATTAGTCATTGTTCACGCGACGTGACTATAGCTACTATTCGGATAAACGGTGCAATCTGTTATATGGTTAAGATAATGTTGATCTTACACGCCACCTGTCATATTTGTCATAATAAGCGTCGGAAAGCTCGTGACCATGAGCATCGATTTAGTTTGTTCATCCGCTTCAAGGTGGCAATTTGCTGATTAGGTCGACGAATTAGAATCAATTGTGGCACTCGAATCCCGATTAAAGAGTGATACTCGAGGGAAGTAAGTTATATCTCTTTATACTAATTTCTCCACATAGTCAACGTAGGAAAAATTATGGAGTCAATGATGTCACACCTAAACTGTTGATCATGGATAATAAAATAGAGATGGATGAGAATCTCTTGCAACAAATGCAGAGCATCGGCACATCAAGCTTAACAAGGATATGTCTCACTAAAATTGTTCAGCAGTATTGAATGATACATTCAGCTTGTTGATACACATTTAACATGAGCTGCACTATGGTAAAGCATTCTAACGATGTGATAGCACTTGAATGTTGAAAATAAGTAAATGAAGTGCTTTATTTTTCTTCTGCCATCTCTATATCGAATGAAGAGTTCTTAGCTTAATAGCCTATGGGAGGCGGTGGTGGCGATGGTGGAGGAGGATAACTATAGTAGTATGAACCACCAGGTTGTGAGTTGACTGAAGGTGGTGGTGATAGGTAAACATAAGGAGGTGGGGTGGATGGAGATGGAGGAGGTGGGGGAGTTGAAGGTGGAGGTGGAGGAGGTGATGGGGATGTTGATGGTGGAGGAGGAGGAGGGGAATTATAGTGGTAAGGAGGTGGTGGAGAGGGAGAGGGTGGTAGAGGTGGAGGCGGTGACTTGTAGATGTAAGGAGGGGGTGGGGATGTTGATGGTGGAGGAGGAGGAGGGGAATTATAGTGGTAGGGAGGTGGTGGAGAGGGAGAGGGTGGTGGAGGTGGAGGTGGAGGTGACTTGTAGAAGTAAGGAGGTGGTGGGGATGTTGATGGTGGAGGAGGAGGAGGAGGAGGAGGGGAATTATAGCGGTAGGGAGGCGGTGGAGAGGGAGAGGGTGGTGGAGGTGGTGAACTAAGATGGTAGGGGATTCCAGGAGTTGGAGAATTTGGTGGTAGTGGAGAGATGTAATAGTAGGGTGGTGGTGGCAGTGATCGAGAAGGTTGTGGAGGAGACTTGTAAGCATATGGTGGAGGTGATGATAGGGATGATGGAGGAGGTGATGGCGATGGAGGTGCTGGTGATTTGTAGATATAGGGAGGCAAGAGTGACAGTGATGGTGGTGGTGGTGGTGGTGATTTATACACATAAATCCGCGGCGGTAATTGTGACGGAGGCGGGGAGAACTTGTGGTGACGTGGTGGCCTTATGACACGCTTTGGTGGTGGAGGTGATGATCTATACGGCGGAGGAGAACGCTTGGAAAGTGGGGATCTATACGGTGCATGAATTACTTGCTTAAAATGAGGAGGTGGAGACATGCGACGATGAGGTGGGTGAATCACATGCTTTGGTGGTGGTGGAGATTTATGATGCCGATGGGGATGACTTATGTACTTGGGAGGAGGAGGTGGTGATTTGTAATAATAAGATGGTGATGGTGGTGATGGTGGAGGATTATAAGTAGAGGGTGGAGGTGGAGGAGGATGCGTAGGTGGTGGCAGGGAAGGCGGAGGAGAATATGTTGGTAATGGAACCGGAGAAGGAGAGTAAGTGGGGAGTTGAGATGGAGGGAAATACATAGGTGGTGGTGGTGGTGAATATATTGGTGGTGGCGACGAGTAAGCACGAAGTGGAGGTGGAGGAGAATTCACAGAAGGTGGAGGTGGAGAAAGTGAATATGTTGGTTGTGGAGGAGAATTAGTTAGGGGTGGAGGTGGAGGCGAATTCATTAGCGGCGGAGGTGGCATATATGTCGGTGGTGGACTATATGTTTGTGGCGGCAGCGAGTATGTAGGGAGTGGAGGTGGAGGAGAATTCTTAGGTGGTGGCGGTGGAGGAGGAGAATATGTAGGTGCCGTTGGTGAATGTATAGGGGGTGGAGGTGGAGGAGAATCCATAAGCGGTGGTGGTAATGAATATGTTAGTGGTGGAGGTGGAGGAGTATATGTCGGTAGTGGCGGCCAGTATGTAGGGGGCGGAGGTGGAGGGGAATTCAAACGTGGTGGCGGTGGAGGAGGCGAATATGTCTGTGGTGGAGGCGAATAAGTAGGGGGTGGAGGTGGAGGGGAATTCATAGGCGGTGGTGGTGGAGGAGGAGAATATGTTGGCGGTGGAGGCGGTGGCGGTGGAGGAGTGTATGTTGGCGGCGGCGGCAAGTAAGTAGGGGGTGGAGGTGGAGGTGGAGGTGGAGGTGGAGGGGAATTCAAATGTGGTGGCGGAGGGGAATTCAAATGTGGTGGCGGTGGAAGAGGTGAGTATGGCAGTGGTGGAGGCAAATAAGTAGGGGGTGGAGGTGGAGGGGTATTCATAGGCGGCGGTTGTGGAGGAGGAGAATATGTTGGCGGCGGAGGCGAGCAAGTAGGGGGTGGAGGAGGAGGGTAATTCCTAGGTGGTGGCGGTGTAGGAGGCGAATATGTTGGCGGCGGAGGTGGAGTATATGTTGGCGGGGGTGGTGAGTAACTAGGGGGTGGAGGAGGAGGGGAATTCCTAGGCGGCGGCGGCGGCGGCAGTGGAGGAGGCGAATATATTGGTGGTGGAGGTGGAGGTGGAGGAGTATATGTTGGCGGCGGAGGGGAGTAAGTAGGGGGTGGAGGTGGAGGTGAATTCGTAGGTGGTGGCGGTGGAGGTGACGAATATGTTGGCGGTAGAGGAGGAGAGTAAGTAGGGACCGGAGGTGGAGGGGAATTCATAGGCGGCGGCGGTGGAGGTGACGAATATGTTGGCGGTAGAGGAGGAGAGTAAGTCGGTGGCGGTGGTGAACTTGTTGGCACTGGTGGAGGTGGACTTGTCGGTGGCGGAGGAGAACTCACGGGCGGTGACAGTGGAGGGGGCAAAGACATTGGTGGTGGAGGAGGTGAGTAAGCAGTCGGTGGAGGAGGAGGAGACTCGTAGGCATACGGCGGCGTAACATAAATTGGCGGGGGAGGTGGCGGGGAACTATCGTAGAGGTCATTTGCGGACGAGACAACCATAACGAGGCACAAGGAAATGGCATATACCAGCCTAGGCGAATGCCAAGACCGCCTCCGGGTTGCCATGGTCACTCGAGCTTTTCGATAACTCCCAAATTAGAACTAATGTGGGGAAGAATGAGTGGGCTCTAAATCCATTATATAGAGGTCTCTCCATGCAATTACTAAGCTTAATTAATCTCTTCAATGAACTTTAAACAGGCTGTATTCCGGATTAAAGTAAGACCCATCACCCAAAAACCCCCCCGCCAAGTTGCTAAAGTCTTTCTTTATGCAAATCGAATGGAGGAATTTCTAGGCGGGATCTGGGTTCTCGGCATGCTAGGCCAACGAGCAAACCCATGAAGAACGATAGGAGCTGAAAGGTGCCGTACAGAAGAAGGACGAGACTGAGCAATTGCGAGTGTGAAACCAATAAACTCGCGGCCGCCCAGCAACATGCAATCTTGTGATGACCGTAACACTCGCCGGACTGGAAATCTCACTCGTCATGATGAGCCAGAGTGCAGTAATCTGAGGTTGGTTCTTCCTTAGGGAAGACTCGTTGTGTCCCGCGACTTGCGGGTGCTCTGGTTCACTTGGACAAGCATCGTTAAGGCCATGCAGCATGCATAGTAGACCATTTCATCCATTGAGACTGCATAGTCGTTGTCTATGAGATAACTTAATTGAAGTGGGCAGGACACTTTGCCGGTACGTTGTCGGACAAAGTCCTCAATTTAAGTGAACGAATTGGCACTTCAAGGAATGCATCAAGACAACACAATCCTAGCACATGTTAATAAGCTGTCGAAAGATATAAAAATCTAGATTGCACCGGTCAATCGTTAGTATTAAATGATCAATGTATCCTCACGTTTCCATTCATGTATGAATAACGACTCCTGTATCAAGAAAAACTCGGTGGAGAAACCGCTTATGTCCGATTTGGACGTCAAAATTTTCAGCTTCTTGAACCTGGGATATTCGTTGCCATTTGGTAATCTGAGGCTTATAAAGAAGGCAGTGACGGACAAACAGGGCAATGTTGATGGATCTCATGCATGTAGAGAATCAACATCCTTTCCTAAAAATGCCAAGGTAACTCTGGTCATGCTGTTTGTTTGCTTCTCACGAACTGGTCGGAAAGCATGAGCTCCTAAGGACCACAGTAAAGGCAATTTGATCGGGCTTCAGATCATGTAGATTGAAATCAACAACAGTAATCTGAGTTTCGGTTATTGTGTCGAGAGAAGCGAGGGCTCCAGATCATGTAGATTGAAATCAACAACAGTAATCTGAGTTTCGGTAATTGTGTCGAGAGAAGCGAGATGCAGTCGGTCCCATCAGGTCAGACCGGCAATTCTCACCTCCCCTATTCAGTATCACTCAATACATCTATTACAGCCAAAACAAAGATCCAAATGCAACGAACATGGCAATTCTTAACTCCCTTTATGTTCATGGATATGGAAAAAACCAGAAAGAATTATCTCATTATGACTTATCTTGGATCTGATGATACTCATCCCCGTTTTGCTATCACGCATTGAACAGAGTGGCGTCAAAGTCAACTAGGTTAGAGTCAAAGTAAAGCTAAGGCCCATTAATTGATTCCAAGCTTCACCAGAAAATAATACTACGGCCGAGGTAGGCAATCCAAAATGTAGACACCGAGTGGGTTGGGCGATTGACTCTAGAGGCTGTGGTCAGCAGTCAATTATATTTCTGATTTATAGAGCTAGCCACATGTTTCCAACCGCTCAAATTTAGTTTATCATGGTCAAAGTATTCCTCATTCCTCAGCATTCTTCCTCAACACATTCTCTGCAACGTAATGCAGAATCACATGAAGCATGTATAAATGAATCATTAAATTCAGGAGGGAGAATGCAGCTATCTCGGTAAAAACAACCTGAAAATTCATAAGAAAATACAAACCCCAGCTATCTGACAGCCATTTCTGTACCTACTTCATAGCTCAGCTTTCATATTAAGTAAAACCCAGTGTTTTACTAAGCAAGGTGCAACGAACAAACCTCTATGGTGCAAGAAAGCACCCAAGCTCGAGAAACGAACAAAAGAAATGAGAATTTGCCTTTGTGTTCATCAATGATTACTTTTTACTCTTTTGGATGCATCCACGAACACCTCAGTGTAACAAATAGGGCAAGCCTGAGAGAATCAAGAAGTTACAATCAGTAACTTCTAGCATCTGGTGAAGAAAACGTGAATAATTTCTCCAAGAAAATGATAAACTTATAAAACAATGAAATTCGACAATTACCTTGTTGATACTGAGCCATTTGGCACCGCAGCCAGCATGATAGACATGCTTGCAAGGAAGGGTCATACGCCGGTCTCCTCGTTTATATTCCATCTGGCAAATCACACATCTGTTTACATCAAACACAGATTGGTTTAGAACAAATGACAAACCGGGGGAAAAGCTTAACCATCAGCAACGAAAGTGATGCACATGAATCTACCGTTAGTTTCTTATAATTGCCGCACTGCAAGATGGTAAATCCCTATTGCTAATCTCATTTAATTGCTGGCATCCAAATGAATAAGTAAACTGCAACTGCAGAGAAGATGATTTTAATGTACTTGGCCATCCATTGCTTGCTATAGCACCCTTCATTCATTATCTCGTCCTAAACTCATGATGAAAGGCGGTGCACAAAAAGTTGCCATTTACTAGGGCTTGTTTGTTTAGGATTAAGTAAAAACAAAAAATACTTCTTAGCTTTCCTACCAAAATTTAAAATATTTATCCAGATTTCAAAAAAATTTGAAAAAGTTATACGCAAATCTACATGTCGACATTTATATGTCGTGAAAGTTTCAGCTGTTCAGGGTTATTGAAAATTTTAGATTAAGCAAAACGCAAATATAAAAGTCTATCCAGACAAATCAGCTTTACTTTTTAACTTTTTTTTCTTGGTCAGAGCTTTACTTTTAACTTAAGTCGTGGGTTTAAAATAGAAAGACTAAAGAAAATGACATCAACTTGTACCTCTCATCTCGTGATCTTCTCCTGGAAAAGAAACCACGCTTGTATTTGGAAATTGGAAGCAGACTTATTTGTTCTTGCGAAAGACCTCGACTCTGAGTTCCGACAGTCTCGCCTAACTCAAGTAACTCCTGTGCATGAGATATTGTATCAGCAACTCTCACTTGAGTACATAAATCACGTGCAAAACTACCAAATTTAGACATAAAATAACTAAGAAAGGCATCACAAGCCCCACTAGGCAAACATTAGATGTGAAACAGTGAAATATTATGCCCAAACCTCATAAGTCATGTTGTCAGGATCTATGTTGTCTTGCCAAACGACCTGCATTATCAGCAAGTTTAACCACGGTTATCGAGATGGTTGACATTTTGGAGCACAAATTACTTGAAGAACAGAACATGATTTGGATAAGCCAGAGCCAACCAGCTTAGTATAACTTTCTAGAACCTCATCTTGGATTTTATAAGCCCATTCAAAAATAACCACAAGCACTCATATACTCATCGTCATTGCAATAAGATAAACCACTTTTCGAGTGGGAAGTGTGAGCCAATTGTAAGTACCACTCCTTGAGAACATATTGAAATTTACGGTATGAAATAGTGAGTGCAAAGAAAAAATTATAGGTCGACAACATGATTTCTACTTTGAACCACGCTAGATGCGATGGACTACAAAGCTACAGACCTGATAATCCTGTGAATTGTGATGCCTTCGTGGACCTGAAAAACACAGAATGATTTGAAATAAGATTTCAAAAATTTAAAGTGACGATAAATTCTATATCACCCAAGAAAAAGAATATCGAGTAGACTGAAGAGATCGGTGCAATGCCTTCGTGATGGTAACAATGATATTTTGAAACCCAAAATGCATATACGATAAAATGAAACGTGAGTTAAATCAGCATCATATCCCCTGGAGGTTTATAATAGAGCTGCTACTATGTTTGCTTAGGAGATAGTAAGTAAACTCCATAACAAAATAGAAAACCTAGGCTCCCCAAATGCGGTTGAAATTGCTTGTATATAGAGTGATAGAGCATATGAAGTGTCTCGCTGCATATGAACAGATGCACCCGAGAGCAACCTGGATAAGTTACTAGGAGGAAGGCTTATGGAATAATGATGTTACTCTGTCGGCATTTTCTTTTGAGTATGAATACCTGATGCGTCAATATTACTACACAACAGCCAGGACAAAATTGTGCCAATCAACGTTTGTTACAAAGGTACAGGGAAGTTTCAAGGATGACCATATGCTTTCTCAGAGTAGTGTTTCTTAAGGATGGGAAAGACTCTTAATTTTGAAGATGTGACAGTTGTTGATGCATAGATCCTACCAAGAAGAGGAAATAGTTCTCCTCTGTATATGTCAAGATGGTTGTCTTATCTTCAAATGCACTAATTGACCAATGCCCATAACTACAGGTGTTTCTATGAAAAGAAATGAATTTGTCCATTTTCAGGGTAAACTATGCAACAATTGCTCAGCCTCACAATTGGAAAATATCTTAAGGAAAGGCTGTGTCTGATGTTATAAGCCGGCGTTGTGACATTCCAAACTGCTCTTGGTACCTGGGCAAAAAAGGTCATCACTACCAAAAGTCTACAACATCCTATATCCTTGGACAGCCACGAAAAACCATGCCAGCGACTTCTGATGAAACGTAGGCGATGCTTAATCACCTTCTAATGTGGATAAAATAAAAAAAATCTTAAACAGTACCGGCAAAACAATAATTTCAGTCTATCGACAATAAGGTTGATTCACTGCTGTAAACTTAGAACTTACATGCTGCAGAGCGGTCGCGAGATCCACTATTTGCATTCCCCTCCCATCCACTGCTTACTGCAGTAGTCTGCTCATTAGTCATTGAGGGGCTAACCATAGGTCTTCGAGTCTCATGATAGGCTTGTCCATGACCATCCACCTCATATGAATGACCATAGTCGTAATATGAGTAATTACTACCATATTCTGATGAACCCACTTTATAGTAGTTTGTATTCACTGATGGATATACGCTCTCCTGCATAATATAAGAAGGAAATAAATGCAGGATTAGTGCTAGACTAAGATCTAATAAAAAACAGAAAACCAGAAAGATGCTGACAAATGCTCCAACAGTTAGATTGGCAAGTATAAATCACAACGGAAAAGTAGAGAAAATTCTGAGTCCTGCTGTAAATTATCCTCCTCCCAAACACAAAAAAAAAAAAAATACTGAGAAGTAAAATACTACACTGGTACAAACCAGCCACCTCTCCAGAAATGGAAAACAACATAATCAACTAATAGGTACCTGAGCATGAGAAGCACCAGAAAATATGAAATTCACGTGTTCATAAGTAAGACCCTCAAAATACTCCATGAAACTTCCAGACGTATTGTAAGGATAGGCAGTGTTAACATATTGAACATCCATGTTCCAACTCATCTCGCACCACCGTCAATTCCCACCTGGAACGTTAATGAGAAGCAGATAAACATCCACCCCATATTAAAGCATCGAAGCGTACGAACATGAAGGATCCAGAAATGCATACCAAGCCTAATCTCTCGCAACCGAGGCCCGCAACTCCATTCAAATACAGTACATACCGCCCGTTACGCGATCCGAGTGTCCGATCTTGTCAGAGATCCTACAATTGAGATGACAATTAAAATCGACCTCAGGCCAGGAAAGAAGTATTCTCGCTGTAACAACACTCGCACCAATGCTAGCCATGCTTATAATGCAGAGATCATCACTTTCTGCCAAAAAAAAAAATACGGTGACCCTCTAAATGTTAGCCCTGCTTATAATGGCTAGCCGTGCTTATTAACGAACAGCCATCAAGGAAATTCGAGTCATCACAAACGACGGCCGAAATGTTTTTTTCTCTTTTGTTGTTCTTTTCGCGGCCGGTGCATGCATGCTGAAGGAACAGTAGTAATTCATGGAGGGTGCAATCCTCTGTTTCATCAGCGCACAAAGTACCCAAAGATGGTGCCTTTGAGATCGCTCCGACGATAAAAGAGAAAACCCGAAGCTTCAAGCCTCGACTGCGGACACCGCCGCCGCCGCCACCCCCGGAAACAAAGAAAGAATTCAAGACGCCAGGAAGAGAGGGGGGGAAAGGCGACCGAGACGCTAATGCCGTCCCAAATTTCACCCATCTTCTCTCCCTCTCTGATCAGACCATCGCCCGAATCAGAACAGCAGAAAATAGAAACCGCGTCGCGCCAGCCGCGAGCCGCTATTCCCCGAACCCACCCCAAAAAAGGAAAAGAAAGAACTCGGAATCAGAGTGAGAACGGCCTCCGGCTGCCGCCGAACGCAAAAGGCGAGGGAGCAAAAGAGCAGAGTCGATGCCGGGTGGTCGCGCACAACAAGAGCAAAAGTTTCGCATTTTACCCCCCGCCGGCGTCGCCGCCGTCGTCCTCCTCCTCCTCCCGTCTGCTGCTGCTGCTGCCCGGCGGCGAAGCTGGGGGGGGACGGGGAGACGAGAAAGCCTCGGTTCCCCTTGCTGGGTTTCTCGTGGGGGGTGGGGAGAGAAATTTGCGAACGAGAGGGGGGAAGAAGATCAGAGAGAAGGAGATATATAAAGGAGGAGGAGGAGAAGTAGGAGGAGAAGATGCTGGAGCCAAATTAAAGAGAATGCGGGATGGATGCGGGGCAGGATGCGGGCATATAATAATCACGCAAAAAGCAAATGTCGAATGCGACTTTCAAAGACGACCCAGCAGCAACAGCAACAGCAACAGCATTAGATTCCTTTGCATAGAGAGAGAGAGAGAGAGAGAAGGAGAGAAGGAGGGAGAAGGAGAGTGGGAGAACCGACATTCGTCGCTTTTGGAAGGGGGGGAGGGAGCTCGCTTTCTGTGTCTCCTCTCCCTCTCTCTCTCTCACAGTCTCTGTCCCTGTCTCTTCTGTGCGCTTGCTTCGTCTCTCTCTCTCTCGCTGATGTTGAACGGAGGAGAGAGAGAGAGAGAGCGGGGAAAAGCGGGGAGCTTTCTCTCTCTACTGCGACCGGGAGGAGGAGTGAGTGTGAGACTGAGTGTGAGAAGGGGGGGTGGGTGGTGCTGCTGCTGCTGCCTTTATGCAGTGGTTTCAGAAACACGCGAACTCCGTTAGCTGGGCTATGATCCGGTCCTTCGCGCTTGCACACCCCCCGTTTTTCGCTCTCGCGAGATCTCCACCGTCGGATTTGGATATACATATATATATATATAGAGGCTTGATCGAGCGTGTCGAGTCGTGTCAGTTTGAGGGACAGGCTTTCGGGCTCTTATAGTTTGCGGTTTTCTCGCATCCGCCAATTGGGCCTCGTCGATGGGGGAGCCCCCCGCGATTCAGGAAGGGGAGAAACGTGAGAGATTAATTAAGGAACCGAAACATAAATCCCACGCACACAATAAGCAGTCGATTTCGGCTCTTGCACTTACCTTTTTTCTCGAGCTATGGAGTTAGTTTACATCCATCTAATTGCTTAATAAGCGGGAAGGGGGATTAAGCCCCTTTTTTTTTTTTCGTTGACGCGTGAATCGTGGGGGATTAAGAAGAGGAATTCACCCAGGTTTTTGGAGAACTTTAGGGGGGGAAGGAAGGGAAGGAGGGGGGGACATTGGATCTATGATGGCTATTTGGAGGCTAACCCAACAACATTCACCAAACGGACATGATAGGAGGGAGGGGGAGGGGGGGGGTTGGAAAACCAGAGAAAAGATGGAAGAGAGAAAGTGACCGGAGAGCAATGATGGATTGGCGGGGCGGGTGGGGGGGCAGGGGAGGGGAAGGCGTGGGTGAGCTAAAACCAGCACGCACCTTCGCGCATTAAATTATGACAGGCGGGTGACCCGAATAATGACCGACCCCTCCTCCTCCCTCTTCTCTTCTTCTTTCCTTTTCGTTTTTCTTCCATTTTGGTGTTTTTTTTCTGGAGAGGTTGGCGGAGGAAGTCGTGCGTGTCGTCGCGTGTCGCGTGTAGGAGCCTAGAAATAACAACCTCCGCCGCATGAGGGCATTTCACTGTCCTACTGTCCGCTTGCTCTCTCTCTCTTGCAAACTACAATCTCTTCCCTTTACCCTCGGGGCTAACCATTTCTTAAATCGGATGGAAACAAATCTCACCCACCAATCGTTTTGGTTAGTTTTTCATTTTTTTTTTCGGAATTCCGACATTTTGGCGACACTTTGCACGGGAATTACGATAAACGGAAACGATCGCGACGGGATTTTCGATCGGCGTGCCGATTCCCCGATGGACCGTGGAAAGCCGTCCCTGTATCTTTTTTTTTTTTCTTTTCTTTTCTTTCAATCGAGCCTGTTTGATTCCTCTTTTTTCTTCGGACCGTTTTTTTTCCCCTTTCCATCTTAAAACTTTAGCGCAGAAGAATGATACGATGTGTAAATGATGAGAACGTGATGTGGGCACGCGAAAATATATATCTCAGACGCGAAATCCATATGCTTATGAAACCCTTTGAAGCAGACCCTATTAACCTTTTCATGTAGTGTTTAGGTTTTTCTTGATTGGACCACGGTGGATCAACCATACTGACCTACCGAGCACCATGTCATTGTCGTCCCAAAAAGCAGGATAAGCTAAGCTTAAATTGTCTCAACCGAGTTGGTTCGAGTCAGTTGAACTGAAGAGAGAAAAGGGGCAACTGCGAGTTTGCCAAATTGCATTACATCACATGAGAATTCTCGTGGAACTATATAGGTTGACAAAATCAAATCAAGACAAACAAAAACAACCAAAAAAAGAGAAGATTCGGTAGCCAAAACCATCCCTTTGACAACGCCAAGTTGGAAACAAGAGTTAGGTGGAAAATGGCTTGAATCTTGTGGAATTTTGGAAGGTCCGGAAACTTTTAAGGGAAGGGAAGGGAAGGAGCAAGTGGAAGTGCAATCACTGCCAAAGGGACAAAATGAGAGGAGGGGAAGCAAAAGCTGTCAGTCATGTGGGGGAAGAAGAAGAGGGAGAGACGGAGAGAGAGGTGGCCGTGAATTGAGTGGGGGAGATCAAGCACAAGACCTGACGTGCAAGGAAGGAAGAATCGATGTTCTCCTTCACGTCTTGGCAAAAAGAAAGTGGGGTAAAAGAACAGGAGCCTGCAACAGTGGGAGACAAAAAGACCAGATTATGAGTACATACGTCCTAGAGAGAATGATTAAGAAATAACATAAGCATTGCGCTCTGTTTCGACACTCCTTAAAGTTCTCATATTAATCTATACATGGTCGGTTCCGGGTATCGAGTTCGAACCGGAAAAAATGAAGTTAGTACTGCGAGAGCTTTTCTAGAACCATGACGATGTTTGCAAAATTCATCATGTATTGAAGGTCGTTTATGCACCTAGATCTTATAAAGCATAAGCCTTAGTATTTAATTTTGATTGGTCCGACTACTATAGTTTTGTCTTGGTCCTGGGAATTGTACAGGCTTTATTATAAGATATGATAAAGGGGAAAAAAAAAGGGTGGGAGTGGACCCATCATGTTTTTTTTTTTATTTGAAAAGAAAAAAAAGAAGATATTTGCTTCATCCAATGAAATGGTATGAGATGAGAACCTTCTTTTTTGTCAGCTTGCTTGAGAGTGGAGAAAAGACGCATGTTGTTTTTCTTCAGGTTATCTGGAACACAAGTAGATGTGTACAGAAATGATTATAACAATAATGAGCTGGTTTTAGCACGAAGGCATCTCTAGGTAGAAAGACAAAAGGCAAAAACTGAGGTGTCACCATCTTTATCTTTTCAACCCCACTTTGGTTTTCCCGATTTCTTTTTTCAAGAAAATCAGAGGCATGAGATCACAAAGCTCCATCAGATCAGAGAAGGGTATTTTGGAGCGGCACACATATTTGGACTCACCAGACAATAGAAAAAGTGAAAGTAAGCAGCAGCAGCAACTTGTCTTTTGCTACAAGATGATTTACTCGGTTCCTCCCAGAGACCAGCAGATCAAAGAATCAATCTGCAATCTCCATTCACATACTTCCCCAACAAGAGGCAAAAGGACTGGACTAAGCCAAGAAAAAGGAGGGACCGGATTGAAAATTTGAAACCATATGCTCCTGTTGAATAGCAAGTCACCAAATACTAAGAATCCTGCATCAAGAGCAAACATGATCAGAAATAAAATTAGAGCCGATTTACACACTGAACGAGAATCTTTTTCAGGTTAATACTTCTTACAAGTCTTCTTTCTGTTCCCCCAAACAACAGCAAGGCTATTGATCAGGATACTAGCGACTATATTAACTGATTTGAATACTGTATTGTAATGAATGTGCAGATAGAGGTTAACAATGTTCAGGTGATGGGTCATTTAGATAGAAGTACGAAGCAAAACAGAAAATCAGTCGTAAATTTTGCACTTTTGAAAGCCGTAGAAACCAAAATCCTGCTTGAAAATCCATTATTTTCGAACCCTAGTGGTGCGCAGGGACTTGTCTGTAAATTAGAGTGAAACGGCTAGAATGTTATGCTTGGCTGAGTTCATTCCGTATCGCAGCCAAACGACTTCACATAATCTAACGCTTTCTTATTTGCGAGGATCAACTCTATTGTGAAATCACACATTAACAGTAGCAAAATCTGATTCACGTACTCATTTAACAACCACTTATCATCACTACTTTAAGAGAACTATCCGTTCCAAGATCGACTTCAGAGGGAAGAAATATGCTAAATTAGCGATTACAAGATTGCAGAATCCTCGTAATTCCAGAGCCCCAGAAATCAAAGCAAATATGCAGTCAAAACTTCAATAGTTTCACTTCATAACTTCATATCACTCGCAAGCATCGAGGATGATTGGGTTTAGTGGTCAAAGAACCAGATTTCAAGATGCCTGCAGAGCACAATGATGGAAACTCTTGTTTCAGAACACAGAGGTTGTAGCCAACCTCACTCGCTCCCTGTGCTAACTGGATCATATACTACTTCTTTGCCTTCCTTAGCCTACCACTACATATCCGGTTTTATTCCGTGTCCTTAGAAAACCTGTTGAGATTAGGCACAAGAAATATATAGATAAAGCGTCCAATTAGTAGAGGAAAAAAGCAATAGAATAAATTATAAATCGGTGGCAGAGAATTACTTGACCAGACTGTCAGTGCAGGATTCAAGTAACACAGCACCATTGAATCCCTTTGACGGACCAGAGGTAACCAGCATTTAGTCATCTAAGTGCCAGGACCACTGGAACGGTATCATAAATTGCAAAAGATCGACCAGAGCAGGAACTGCTTTAAAGTTAGCAGACTGAGAACTTCAGCAGGGAAGCTTTCTTCTGGAGAAGCTGGCATAACTAAGATAAACCCAATAAAAATAAAGCATCAGCCGAGTATTGCCAGATCGACTAATTCAATCCCAATAAAGTAATACATGGTAAAAATACCTCCTATGCGGACTAGCTGCAGGAAGCTCTAAAATAAGCATGGCAGCCGGTACCTTGAACATCGGGACGCATACTGATCACCCATCACAACTTGCTAATAATGAAGGAGCTGCAATGAGTGCATAAACCTGACTGACCGTGTCCCATGTACTACTCCATACATTAAAGCAAATTAACAAATATTTGAGAAAGATTCGATAAATCGCAATATCTTTTTACTTTTTTTCTAATTGTAGTCCTAGTCTTGCTCTGAATATAACTTTCAACCTAGGATCCTTGAAAACATTGACTTGTAAAAACATACAGATACCTTCTGGTGGCTATAACGGAGATTAAAAATCTTATCTGCACGATCTGCTTCTATGTGGCCGAAGAACGTGTTTATACTTGTCACTTGTCAGTAGCCCAATACATAACATGTGTGATTTACTCCAAAAGGAGTACATGGTGAATAATTTTTATCCTGCGTGAACTAGTCCAGCTGCCTGCATGCTGCAGGTGCCCATAAAATGACCACCGCTTCAAATTTCTGGAGCATCATAATGTGCCCATCAGACTTGAGCTCAAGTCAACATGCTGCAGTAGCCTCAAGCCACCGGCCGGTATCAATCAGGTTCAAAGAGAATGGGCACCCAAATTAAAAATACCAACCATATTCTCGACAAGATGCAGCTGTCTTGTCAATATGACAAGGTATTGATAAATCCGTTCCGATTGAGGGTGTGATTTATCTCTAACAATAAACTCATGAACAACACCATTAACCTCAATTGAGCTACATCCCGGAGTCTTCTCTACTCCTCTCTTTGTCATCAGCTTCCTCACCTTCCTAGCCTCTTCCCACATGTTTGCTTCTCCATACATATTCGCCAATAGAACATAAGTACCGCTGTCATGAGGATCCAACTTTAGAAGTTCTAAAGCCACTTTTTGTCCCAGCAGGACATTCCTATGAACTCGACAAGCAAAAAACAATGGGCCCCAAACTGCAGCATCTGCCTTTATTGGCATGCTCTCGATAAGCTTTACTGCCTCTTCCAGTAAACCAGCCCGTCCAAGAAGGTCTACCATGCAAGAATAATGCTTGAGCCTAGGGAACAGATTAAATTCAGAAGTCATTTGAGAGAAGAAATTGCGCCCAGCTTCAACCAAACCCCCATGACAACAAGCAGATAGTACCCCCAGAAATGTGACCTCGTCTGGCTTCAGTCCATTACCAATCATTTCCCTGAAGAAAGATATAGCATCCAGTGCACACCCATGATGAGCTAAACCGCATATTAATGCCGTCCAGGTTAAGGAATTTTTCACCGCCATTTCCGAGAAAACACGGAGAGCTCTAGGAATATCTCCACACTTGGCATACATGTCAATAAGAGCAGTTCCCAAGGCAACATTGAGGGAAAGCTTGTGTTTCTCTACATAGTGGTGAATCCATATCCCACCTTCAAGAGCCCCTAGTTGTGAGCAAGCCGATAAGCAAGTAACCATCGTAACTTCGTCTGGTCTTGTGTTGCTGGATTGCATTTCATGGAACAAGGCTAGAGCCTCCTTGCTACGGTTAGCTTGAACGTAGCCACCTATCAATGCATTCCATGGAACAACATCCTTATGAGGCATGCCATCAAAAAGCTCACGAGCCGTGTCTAGAAACCCAAATCTTGCGTATCCAACGACCATCGTGGTGTAAGAAACAAAAGTTCTCGTCTTCATGTTATCGAAAATTTCCTGCGCTTGTTCGAGATCCCCACACTTGATGTACATGTCCATAAGAGCATTGGCGAGGGGCACAGTCAAAGTCAGCCCATTCCCTTCAATCAATCGGTGAAATTCTCTCCCTAGTTTCAAATCCTCCAACTGGGCACATGCAGAGACCATGCCAATCGTCGTGACCTCGTCCGGCATAACGCCCTCTGCCTCCATCTCACGATACATCTTCAAAGCATAACCCGCGAGCCCACTCCTCACATACCCATTGATCAAAGAGTTCCACGAAACCAAGTCTCTCACGGGACTTCCGTCGAACACCTCGCGTGCTTTCCCCACCTCGCCCCAAGAAACGACCATATGGATCACCGCATTGCGCACGAACAAATCACCCTCAAATCCCAACTTCACCACATGGCCAAGAACTCCGCGGCCCATGCGATTCATCGACGAATTGGCACATATCTTCAGCAGCAGGGGATAAGTATAATTGTCCGGCCTCGACCCGCCATTCCTCAACATCCACCGGTACAGAACGAGCGCCTCCCCCGGCCTCTCGCTCTCCGCGAACCCCCTGATGCCCACGTTCCACGAGAACGCGTTCGGGTCCTCGGCGCCGCACAGGATCCTGGCGCAGTACCCGAGGTCCCGCCACTCCGAGAGGGCGCAGAAGGCGACGAGGCGGCTCAGGGCCAGCCCGTCGGAGGCCAGGCCGGTGGCGACCATCTGGGCCTGGACCTGCAACAGCTGGGGCATGGAGCGGCACCGCTCCAGCAGGGAGAGGAGCGGGTTCGAGAGGACGAAGGCGTGGGCGGTGTTCCAGCTCGTGGGCTTGTCCCGGTGAGGAGGGAGAGACCGGGCGTGGAGCGCCGGGAGCGAACGGAGGAGGAGGGATCGGCGAGCGACGGCATGGGGAGGGATCATCAGAAATGCGGGGCTGGTTCTCGTGTCATCGGAGCTTCTTCTGGTCGTGCAGCTCCATGCAAAAAAGGAATGCGACGAATGGAACACTTCCAAGCGCGACGCAGGTTTCCAACTTTCAAGGTTTCTTTTAGGAAGATGACACGAATGGTCCTGAATTTCGGCCCAACGTGTAATGTGATCCCTGAACTTTTAATTTATTTAATATAGTATTGAATATTTCCGTATAATTTATGGACTAAATTAAACATGTACCAAAAGTCCAGAGACTACATTGAACAAATTAAAAGTTCGGGAACCAAATTGAACATTAGGCTAAAGTTCAGGGACTACATTAAATAAATTAAAAGTTCAGGGACCACATTGCATATTGGGCCAAAATTCAGGGATTATTTGTATCATTATCCCTTTCTTTTTCATAACTATAACCTTATAAAGGACAACTAATGAATTTGCGAAAATATATATATTTCAATTCCTTACTAATCGTATTAAGTAATTTTCTATTTAATGTATAGTTGAATAAACTATGTGTAGTTAGAGGCTATTAAACGTTACTTAATTACATTAAGGGCTGAAACTTGGTTATCAAACATAGCCTCGAATAAATTCCGTTATTACAAATTAAAATTTAACATAACCTCAGATTCTCGAGTTTCAGCTCAGCTTTCTCGAATGGAAATACGGAATTCAAAATTGATTTAATATGGACGACATGACAAACAAAGTCCATTGTAGCATAAAAAGTACATGAAACTAAGTACATTCTTATCATGTATAGGCCCTACTAGTTCGTAATCTAATCTACTATTGATTTGGTTTAGTAAAATGAGTCTAGATAATAATTCGCCGTATGTCCTGCATGTGATATGAATATGAGGCAAGGCATGGAGATCATGCAAATGAGGGAAGTTAAACCCAGATTTTAAGGACAATGACAGTACTTCTAACACAAATTTCGCTTGAATAAAGATGCATAGGCTGTAAAACAAGACTTGTATGCCTCGCGATTGGGGATTGGTGGGTTCCAAGCACGGACCACCGGTCAAGGATAAGGGATCCCTCGACCGCAAAAAAATGTGATGCTTAGTAAAAAGAAGAACGAACAAGTATCATACAGATAGCATCATCCATATAGAGCGACTACTTCTCAATATGGGTGTGGTCAAGTATCATTCATAGTCATCTCTTTCAACAGTCTTGCTCAAAATGGTCCTCCATTCAACAATTCTCTTCCCATTTTTCAAACTTTTGGTCAAGCGGTACTTCTTTTTCTAAAAGCACTGATCCAACCATTGATACCCCTGTTCGTTTACAGGTCATTCATATGCTTTTTTCTCTGGTTAGCACAGAATGTGCAGATACCCAAGTGGATCCTTCAAGTACCAGCTTTACAAATTGGACATCTTCAGGCGAATTTCTCCCCTAATTGTCCAAATCATCTGACAAACAATGGAGATAAAGATAAACCAAAGTTTACAATTGAATTAACCTGCTGTCTTGCAACTCAGGTGCAACAGAAACTGCTTGATGTCCAAGCACTATCCATCTGTTAACAAGAAATGAACTCAGCCGATGCATCGCATAGTATGAATGAATCTGCTTGGTTAGGCTTCCCAAAGACATTTACATGAAGCAAAGATCATCCTAAGAGCAAAAGATACCGCGCTGCTAATTGGAAAATCTTAATGCAGGTTTACATTAGGCAGTTCACAGGCAGATAAATTATCAAAATACAACAATCCACTTTCAATAGCACAAATCTACTCACAGGGAAAAAAAAAAGAATAGCAGTCCCACCAAACTTTGATGATAAAGCAGTTAATACATAACCAGTACGTAGCTCGTCCTTCTGAGTGGAGAGACAGCAAAGAGAGGCCAGTAGGTTGCTATTGATGCCTACTCAAATCTAAGTGATCTCTCCCTTGAAATCTGTCGATGCCATGAGAAGGGGGGTCAAAAGATGCTTCCGATCTCCTGGAATTGATTTCCAACTCCTTATGCTTCAACTCCAGAAATCCCCGCTCATTTTCTAGTTTCATACTCTCGTTTTCCAGCCTCATCCGCTCCAGCTCCCTGTTTTTATTGCTGCAGTATCTTAGCCACTTAAAACGCTGTTTCTCGAGCTCAAAGGATTGAACCTGAATGCTCACTCTCTGTTCTTGAAGTTGCAACATCTGTCTCTTAATCCAATCCTTTCGCTCCCACGATGTCTTTGATGGGTCCTGAAATATATCTGCCATCTCAAATTGCAAACCCTCTTGCCTACTACCCTGCGGCCATGAAGGGCCGTCCTCCTCAACCATTTTCCTCTTATTAGATCCACACACTTTTCCCCGGCATCCGTCAACACCATTGTCATCCTCATCATCCAATCCGTCGTTGTCGTCTTCGTCATCACAATCCTCATTGTCTTCAGCTTCCTCATCTGATGCATCCTCGTCCTTTGATCCCCTCTCGAGACGCAATGAATACGCTTGTAAATCAAGATCTTGGCAGTAAGGAATCTTCTGGCCATTATGGTAGGCACACATCTCTTTGTAAAATAAATGCTTCGAGCTCAATATCTTCCTCACATCTTCCTTTGCCTTTGCAGATAGCTGAGGCATGGAATCCATAAGGGCAGGGTTCTCCACCACCCTACAACTAGTTCCTCTCCCAAGGATATCATTCAGTCTCTTGTACCTCTTGTTCAAGTCATTGAACTTATCCTCGCACTGCTGCGGCGAAACATGACAATCTCTACTGATCATAATCTTCGAAACAGTTTTCCACTTGCCCTTTTTCTGGAGGATCCCGGACTTCCCTCTAAATCCCTCCTCGGCAGCCCCATCATCGCCCACGTAAGCAACCACTGCAATGAGAAGCCTAACCACCTCATCCGTCCACTTCATTCGGTGCCACGGAGAACCCTTCTTACCCTTTACCAAACTCTCGCCATTTCCATCATCTAAACTAGGTTCATCCTCTTCGCTAATATTGTCGGCATTCAACGCACTAACCGCAGCCTTCCCTTTGCTGAAAGTTGTCGGCACACCTCGCGCCGCCAAGCCCCCGACTTCCATCAGTCCGATGTGTTGGCTGCTGCTTTCAAGACCAGTCATGAGATTCATCGGTTGCCGGTGGCTCAAGGACGAATGAGCCAGGTGGGTCTGTTGGTGCCTGTGCATTGAGGACTCCAGGTCCAACAATCCCCCGCTCGACACCGACAAAAACCCACCTCCCAAACTCGAGCTGTCCATCTCCTAATAAGCCGAAACAAGGGAGCAGCAGCATTCACAGAAGCAAGCCCTAGGCCAATTGGCTTCGTAGCATCCTCGAATCAACCAATCTGCCCAATTCGACTCTCTTCCTCCCTCTCAGAAGCGAAATGGCCCGAAATCACAAGCTAATTCACGACCCTCCACCAAATCTCCTCCGTTTCCCAAATAGTGAGCCAACGAATGTAAAAAAAGAAAAAGAAAAAGAAAAAGCAATCAGAAATCAGCAAGATCCACAAGAAAATCTCCTTCCTCCTTCAACCACGGCGGAAACTACAAACCCACAAACACCCTCGAAACGATTCGGACACGGAGGCGAGATCGTGCGTCGTTTACCTCAAATGACCGCGGAAATCTCGAAGGGCTCTCTTGCTAACGGAATGCAAAGTCGCCGCAGCGGAACGACGTGGGGGGGAAGGACGACGAGGAAAACGAAAGAACAAGCGCGCGAAACGAAAGAAGGGTCGCCCCCGATCATCTTCGGGAGAAGAATTTCTCAGTCCATCCGATCAGGGATGCGACCGAGTGTGCGTGCGCGCGCGCCTGAGTTTCGTTCGCTCGAGCGAGCAAGCAAGCACACCTGCGCAGGGTTTTATTGTCGGAAAAAGAAGCGTCCAATGAAATCGGGGAATTTTGTCGTACGCCCGGGGAACCGATCTCCAGCGCACGCGACGTGATCACGTGTTCTCATGGAATAATCACAAAAATGGTATTGAACTTTGGCTCGACATGCAATTTGATCCTTAAATTTTAACTTAATGTGTAACGTGTTCTCTGAACCTTTAATTTGTTTAATGTAGTCCATAAACTTTTGATAATTGTTTAATCCAATCCTTAGATTATATGAAAATCTCAAATGTTATCGTTCCATTAATTTGAATTCAAAAATAACATTAAGGGTTATTGATTCCCGATCTGATCCCACTCAGAAACCGAGAACCAAACTAGAAGAACTGGTTCTGAGTTTTTCGGAACCGGACCACTTAGTCCTAGGATCGGAAGGGTCCAATCTGGTTCCTGGGCGATGAAATGGAACCCGATAGATTCACAATAAATCGCCTATGCTCGCCGGATTTGAATGAAACCGAGTGGGATATCTGAAACTCGCTCGAAAAGTTGCAGGGAAGTCACTGATCACCGCAGCGAGGCATTTGAAGTTTACTGTAATGCTGCTGGTGCATATTAGGCGCGAGGTGAGGCGCCGGTCCCAACCGAAGCAGTGTTGGAACTCACTTTGCTGCTTGAGACCAGAAGACCGCCGACGTTGCAAGTCGCAGCTAGTAGCTCGGCATTGGATCTAGAGGTGCTGGTCACGAAATCATCGGCGTTGGGCAGCAGGGCCTATTGGACGACGTCTGGAGCATCGGAGCGAAGCAGGGAAGCTCGCCGGTTTGCTGCGTCTGTCCTAGAAAAGCAATGGCTAGAGCTAGAAGCGGCGGCGAAGGCTTGGGGACGTCTGGGAGTTGCAACCGTTTGTCGAGAATTGATTGCAAGCAGCGTGAACCGGTCGGCATCGACGGTTGAGCGAGGAAAGCGTTGTGGCCGGTGGGAGTACACAGCGCTCCGGTGGGAAGAGTCGTGAAGCCGAGACCACGAAGAAGAAGACCACCTCTTTTCGGCAAAAGTACACCACAAGTGCCATAACTTGTGTACGGCGATCACTTTGGTGCCATAACTTTTTTTCGAATCACTTTGGTGCCAAGTCGGAGGAAAAGAGATCACTTTAGTGCCAATTTGGCCGGAATCCGACGTGGCATTTTTTATTAATTTTTACGCCGTCGTGGCTCGCCGGAGGCTGAGTCGGCATGTACAATCAGCATTTTTTAAAAATAATTTTTTTCATGTACAATGCATTTTTAATTTTAAATATTTTTTTTCCTTTTTTTCTTCTTTCCTTTTTCTTTTCTTTTCTTTTCTTTTTTTTCTTTTCTCCCCTCGCCGGCCGGTCGAAGCCCGGGAAGGGCTGGGCGAGGGCGGCCTTGCCCATGGCCGGCAAGGGGCGGCCGACCTCGTCGGCGACAGGTGAGGCCAGCCCAGGCGAGGGCTGCCCTCGCCCGACACCGGTGAGGGTCGCCCTCGCCAGATCTGGCGAGGGCGACCCTCGCCCCGCCCAGGCGAGGGCGTCCCTCGCCCGACGCCGGCGAGGGCAGCCCTCGCCTGGGCCGGCGAGGGGCGGCCTCGCCTGGGCCGGCGAGGGCCGGCCTCGCCTGTCGCCGGCGAGGGTCGGCCGCCCCTCGCCGGCCATGGGCAAGGCCGCCCTCGCCCAGCCCTTCCCGGGCTTCGCCGGTGAGGGGAGAAAAGAAAAAAAAGAAAAGAAAAGAAAAAGGAAAGAAGAAAAAAAAATGAAAAAAAATATTTAAAATTAAAAATGCTGACTGTACACGCTAAAAAAAATTATTTAAAATTAAAAATGCTGATCAGACACGCCGACTTAGCCTCCAAATGAGCCACGTCGGCGTAAAAATTAATAAAAATGCCACGTCGGATTTCCGGCCAAATTGGCACTAAAGTGATCTCTTTTTCTCCGACTTGGCACCAAAGTAATCGGAAAAAAAGTTATGGCACCAAAGTGATCGCCGTACACAAGTTATGGCACTTGTAGTGTACTTTTGCCTCCTCTTTTCCAAAAAAAAAAAAATGCTCTTTTCTATAGTGTCTCCCTTGTTTCCCATGTTTTTTCCTTTCTTTTTGTCGTCTTTTTTACTGTCCCTGCTAGTGATGTTTTTTAATAAATAAATAAATCGGTCCAATTCTCACTTTAGAACCGGGAATCGCAAATCACCGGTTCCAGTGTCATGGAACCGGGAATTGGACCGACGCCCTTGGGAAGAGCCCAGAACCGATCAATTCGGTCCTGTCCAGTCCAAGCGGTTATCGGTTCGGGTGATTCTTTGTGCTTACCCCTAATTTTCATATAGTCCGAGAACTAAATTGAACATATGCCAAAAGTTCAAAGATCATATTAATATATTAAAAGTTCAGGGATGACATTGTACATTAATCTAAAGTTCAGGGACCACATTTAACAATTTAAGAGTTTAAAGAATGACACTTCACATTGAACTAAAGTTCTTGGATCATATGTGTTGTTTTTCCAATTTTTATTGTAATTCCTACATAAATTACTATAACATTTAACCATATTGATATTTCATGATCAACGAGTAAAATTTATTCTCGATCAATGAGTGCCTATTATTTTCCGGAAAATGGTTACTTGAGCCCCCGATAAATCACATCTGTCGGGCACATAACATTGGTCACGTTCTCGCTTTTTACGTGAATACTTCTTCTCGCGATGCATGTCGATCGACCCTGACATGATCATGTCGATCGACCCTGACATGATCATGCCGAATTTAGCTGCGTGAAGTTTGCATGTATAAATTGGCTATCGCTTTTCAATAGTAGAATAGGGAAAATTCACAACTGCAATTAGCGTCCGAGAAATCACAATCCGTGCATTTTAAGGCGATCCTACGCAGTTTCATCAAAAAGTACGTGAGGCTCCACCCGAGCTGAGCTTATTCAATGATCGCGTCTACTTATGCATTGCTTTGATTACTATTACATCCACCGCCATTCACCACAAGGTGGAGAGAAGCGATGAGTCTCGACTAAGCTTATAGGATTTGATTGCGGTCGCGACACATCGGTGGGTTAGATTTCTGAAATCACAACTCCGAAGTGACGATCAGTCGAGGGAAACACAAAATGACATTTGCGATCTGCAGCAGAAATTAGGATGCATATCTAACCAAAAGCAGTCTTAAAGGAGCGAGGCATTTGCATTTACCCGCTTAACCTTGTACAGGTACAAATGCAGATTCGGGGCAATAGTTCTGCCCTTGAGCGTCGTGGACGTCCAAAGGCTTCTTGTAAGACTGCAGCAGTAGAGAGGAACAGACCACGCTGAGGGAGGAGGCGGCCATGCAGGCGCCGGCAAGCCAAGGTGGTAGACGGATGCCGGTGAAGGGGTACAGGATGCCGGCGGCAATCGGCATGCCTAGAATGTTGTAGCCGAGGGCCCACACGTAGTTGAGTCGGATGCGCGACATCGTCTTCCGGGACAGATGGATTGCAGTTATCACGTCCTCCAGGTTGCTTTTAATGAGAACTATGTCCGCCGCTTCTATGGCGACGTCGGTGCCTGCACCGATCGCCATGCCGACATCTGCTGCAACCAAGGCTGGTGAATCGTTGATTCCATCTCCCACCATTGCCACTGTCATCCCTTTTGTCTGCATCGGATTTAAATTTTCAGTCAAACCAGTTCGTCCTTTACAACGTACGCAGCAGGACAACTTCATCAAACAGAGTTGAGGCACATGAGCAGTACATTTGTAGCATAAGACAAAATAAACAGAAAAGGGAGCCTTGATGCTCAAATAACATTATACAGTTCTAAAGGCTAAAGCTTGTGGAAAAGTGGATTCTGATATATTTTTGTTCAGAAGTCTCTGAATTCCTCATTTGCCTCCTTGATTATGATCAAATGCCACGCATCGTGCTTAAGCCAAAACCAACCTAAGAGTAAGGAAAGTCGATCAGATGAGTTGGTAGTCATCGCACAGCAGTTCTACACTACACGGTCCGACTCTGTCAAATCCCAATATGATGCACATATCTGCCATCGAAACTGATGCCTCATGATGTAAATTTTGTAAAACTCTAGAAGGGATAGAACCACCTATGAGATCGTGTTCAAATTTGTTGTATGAAATGCGTCCACTCATAACTAGGACGCTACTTCCGACCTAAAGAATCCTTAGCAACACAAAATGCTCCCTCAAGTCAACTAATTTACCTTGGACTATATAACAATAACCATATAAGATTGGCGCAGTCCACTTTAGAACTAAGGCGTACCTGCAAATCTTTGATCTTGTCAGCCTTTCCTACTGGGTCTGTCTCAGCAAAAACCTTCTGGATACCGACTTGCTTTGATATAGCCATCGCTGTGGCCCAGTTATCGCCGGTCACCATAATACTTGAGATGCCCATAGAGTGAAGAAAGGATATGACACGCCTAGCCTCTGGCTTTACTGGATCAGTTACAGCAAAAGCTCCGGCAATCTTTCCATCAATGGCAACAAGCACACAACTACGAGCCATTTGCTCATTTTCTGAAATGTAGTCCTGAACCTCACGACCAATAGCCACATTAAAGGCCCGCATGAGCTTCCTGTTGCCGACTAGAACCACTTTTTCTCCCACTTTTCCGCTCACCCCAGCTCCTGGGTGCACCTCAAAGTCCTTGACCTCTGCATTATGGTCAGTGCTGGATCCGAATTTCTTGCGCAGCCTCTTAGCGTGTTCCATGACAGCTTTTGCCATTGGGTGTTCACTATTCACCTGAATATTACAGACAGTTGAAAAATCACATAAAGAGCACTGCCTTTATCCAATCTACTATCAAATGAATGCACGTCTACCTGAACAAAATTAACTCGAGGTCACTTCTTTGAAATACAAACAATTTCCACTAAAAGAGTAAAATGTTGAGATTGAATAGTGGCGTGTCAGAATATCTCATAAATTACATCCACTTCATTTTTCCATAACCACTTCAACATATATCTGCTTAATGATCCAACTCTCATATTAGGACGATATTATACTACA